GGGTGTGGCGCCCTGCCACTCACACAGCGATGAAGCCACCCTTTGCGTGGCATGGGCGGGACAGAAGTCCATGCCACGTGTGGATTTGGTTAGCAGGGCTGCCCCAAGACCCACAGGCACAGCGCTGCATCCACAGGATGCTCGAGGGACAGGCAGAGAGGGTCAGGGCAGAGCTGCAAAGCAAAGGGCAGGGGGATGCGGAGGGGTCTGGGCTGGGGGAGAGCATTGGGCAGAGCTGGTCCAGTCCCACTGCTTGTTATCTGCATTTCAGTGCCCATGGCAAAATCCACCCACCACTCAAAACAACCCCCCCATCCACCTGCCCCACAGCCCAGCTCTGGCTGCGTGTCCTATCTGGTTGCAGAGGGATGGGCTGGGAGCCAGCCAGGAGCAGGCAGAGGAGCCGGGAGCCAGGAGGGGCTTTGCCCCTCTTTGGGGCAGCTCACAGGCAGAGCAAGCCCCTGCTGCCGGGGCAGAGCCACGGGGAAAGGCAGGTCCCTGCTTTCTGCCTCCGTCCCCATCTCAAGGCTGGGCAGGCGGCTGGGGCCGGCGCTGCCGGGGTCCCCAGGTACTCTCGCTGCCCAGCAGCTGGGACATGGTGATTTGCTGCAGACAGACCTCGCGCAGCATCGCATTCACCCTCTGAATTCCGTGTTTATTTGGCACATGCTGCCCAGCTCCCTGGAATCCAGCTCAGTGCTGGTAGCTGGCAGCATCCACCCAGCCGGGCACACTCCTACAGCGAGCCCTGCGAGGTGGGGAAAGCAGGGGATAGTGTCTCGGGGAGTTTGGGGAGGGCATGTCATGGGCAGCCCGCGCCATGCTGCCTGTGGTCCCTCGGGCAGGGAAGGAGCGGGGGGGCTTACTCTCCATCGCCCCCAGGTACCTGGCAGCCCCCTGCCCCACAGCCAGGCTGGTCCTGCCTCTGCCGGCTCATGGCCCTGCCGTACGCCGGTCCCCGCTGCCTCCTGTTATCAGCCACCCAAATCCCACCTGTTTTCCCTGCCATTTGTAGTAGTAGCCCTGTCTGTATTAACCCCTGACCCCGCCGAGCTGCTCTTTTCTTCTTTTGACAATTGTGTTTACCAAGTGCTTGGAGGTCAGCTTTTTTCTCCATGCCAGAGCTCAGCCATCCTGTCTCCAGCCCGGGATGCTTCCTGGCCCTTCCCAGCTTGGAGGGTCCACGGCGGATGCAGCCTGGCATGGGGATGTGGCTCCTGCCAAGCCAGCCAGTGAGCCAGAGCAGCCCTGGCATCCCTGAGAAGCCCAGCAAAAACTGGTGCTCACCTTCTGCTGGGAGATCTTTGGAAGAAGACCCCAATCTTCTCTGGTCTCCACCTCCCCCCGAACTTCCCATAGGACCCCAGCCTTGCCTGGGCACCGAGAGGGGGGACCTCAGCCTCGCCCCTCCCAGGTCCAGTGACCTGTGCTCCCAGCTGCCCCAGTCAGACCTGCCTGGGACCTCGGGAGCAGGGGCAGGAGAGGGTTTGGGGATGAAGGCCAAGGGCAGAGGGTGTGGGGCAGAAGGGCTTTTTCAAACCCCCACCAAGCCAGCCTGCCCCAGCCTCTGGGGACTTCCCTTCACTCTCCTCCCCTCACTCACCCTTCCTTAATTATTCTTAATGGGCAAGCTCATAAGAGCTTCTATTAACTTTATTACCAGATCAATTAGTGCTTTCTTTCCCTCCCTCCTCCTCCCCCTGTGCTAATAATCCCATCAAATATGAAGACAGCATCCGCGCTGGTACCCAGCAACCTGGAGAAGGTGCTGGGAAATGCAGCCTAGCCTGAGCTCCAGATGCTCTGTTGGGCGCTTCCGAGATCGATGGATCCTTCCCAGGACGTGGCCCAGCGAGGAGGGGAGGGAGCCAGGGAGGGGGAAGATTAATTGGAGAAGACTTTGGCACCGAACAGCTCCAAAATCTGCTGGTGTGAGCTGAGCAGGAGTGGCTTGGCACCGGGATGCAGCCCTCTTGCCTGCAGCCCTGCGAGCTGGCGGGGTCGATACAGCCGGCAGAGGATACAGGTGTTTGTTGGCGGGTCCAGGGGAAGGAGCCGCAGCATCAATCAGAGCTCCGCAGGATGGCAGGGATGGGGCCATGGGGACAGGAGATGGGGTAATGGCTGCAGCCGCGTGCTCTGAGCAGAGGGGAGAGGACACCTGCCCAGCGCGGGGGCGAGGGCAGTCCCAGCACCTCTGCTCCACTCTGTGAGGGACATGAGGGAGGATGGGGACACCCCTGGGGCACACACTGGCCATCACAAGAAGGCTCTGGGGAGCCCCGCATCCCCTTTGGAGAGGGAAGGACGCAGAGGACGAGTGCTGGCACTGAGCACATCATCTGGCAATCCTTCCCCAACCTCTGCCCCCTTTGGGGACCCACCCCAAGCACCCCAAAGGCGAGCGCCCCCCTCAGCCCTCGGCACAGCGCTTGCACACAGGCGTGGGCTGGATGCACAGATAGAGGAGCTGGCTGCGAGCTGCAGCAGTGCTGGATGCCCTGGCTCGCAGCAGAACCGTCGTAGCCTGACTGACAGCCCCTGAAGGGAATGTGCAGGGAAACTGTGGGAGCAAAAGGATTTTGAAATGTTTGACCAGGGGACCTTGCCTGGAAAGCAACTCCTTTTTGCAGGGATGCCGGCTCCCACCCCAGACCGTTTCTCAGAGACCCCTTGGCCGCCCACGCAGTTTGTTCCAGCCTGAAAGGACCCACTTGAGCATCCCGGAAAGGCCACAGTGTTCCCAGCAGCCCAAGCCACGTGTCCTGCTTGTGTCACGCTGACAGCTTGCAGCTTTGGCACTTGGAAAGGACTCCAGGGCCACTGCAAAACTCCAGCCTGCCTGGGCCATGGGCAGCACGGCTCTGAGCCAAAAGGCTATCAGCCCAAGGGCTCAGCATGGGCTCTCAGCCCCTTGGCCAGCCGGGACAACCAGAAGGGCTGCCAGTATGGGGAGGACTACATTTCATTAAATGAAGCACTCACACTTGGGTGGGGTCTGCAATGGCCACCAGCCACCAGGAGCAGAACCCTGTGGAGCCAGCTCCCAGTCCCCATGCATTTGGGCCATGCTTAGCACTTGGGTTCAAAGCTAGGACCAGTACGAGCTGGTTCACCTGGCCAGATCCCTTCCCAGCTCCTGGAGAATGCCTGATCGAGCGCTGTGTGTTTGGCCTGGCAAAAAACCCAAACCAATGCCTTTTGGTGGCTGCTCACAGTGACTTCTACATGGAAACATTGCTCCTCGACTACATCCCCTGAGAAGATGTCCCCAGACAGAGAGGAGTTAGCAGGGAACAGTATCCTGCTCTCCTCAGGTAAGGAGGTCCCACTGCCTCCTAATGTCATGGGTGGTTTGCTATGAACAGCCAGCGACAGGGTGCACATTTATAGCCAACAATCCCATGAGTGACTGGGGGTCTCCCAGACACACTGCAGTGCTGGCTGCTGGCTGAGCACCCCAAACTCCTGCTCTTTCTGTCATCTTTCCAACCAGCCCAAGCTTAGCTCCCCCCTGAAACAGCCCATTCCCGGGTCCCTGGCTGGACCTGCCCCTGCTCTCACCTGTGAGTCTCCTTCTCCCTGTGGAGCTGATCCAAGACTCTTTAGACTCCCAGTGCTGAGCCTGTAGGACCTGCCCCATGCACCTCTAAGGCTGGACCAGACAAGGTCTCCGCACAGCACCCGGCCAGCACAGGGGTCTACAGCCCATACAGGTAGAGCCCTCCTCTGCTGCCGGCAGGGTTGTCACTCCCAAGGCTCAGAGCAAAGAGGGAAGTGCTCAGCTCTCACCACTTCTAATCCACTTTATTTGCACCCCATTCCCGAGGAAGACCTCCAAAAAGAGCTCCTGGCCTTCATCCGCTGTGGGCTTTGCAGACTCAGCTCCAAGAAGCTCCAGGCTGCAGCTGACCCGGAGCAGCTCAGCAGCTCTGCAACCCTCCGGGGACAGGTGGGGACTGTGCCTGCCTGGGGGTGTCCTGGGCTGAGCATCACAAGCCTGGGGCCAGTCCTAGCCCGGGGACTGGCAGGGAAGAGCAATGTCACCGCCACAGGTCTGGGAAGAGTAGGAAACCCAGCCTGAGTCTTCTCTGTATCAGGCAGAAAATCCAGTGTTGTCCCTCGGAAAACTGACCCTAAAGGCTTCTAACTTCATGGCCAAGGGCTTCCCCTTTGCACGTGGAGGTGATGGGCACATGAGGGGGAGAATGATGCTCCGCTTGGATGGGGCCATTGCTGCCAGGGACGGAGGAGGAGAGAGCAAAGCACCGCTGCCTCCCGTCTCCCCCCCGCCTTTCCAAAATAAATAGGCCTGGGAAATAATAGTCAATGTGAAAGGAATTAAAAAGGCTTCTGCGTGTGTGCGTGCGTATGTGTGTGCGAGTCCTGCCAGGTTAATACTGCTGCCTATTCGCCTGACAGCTCCAAGATTGATTACCCGCCTCAGCGCTCTTTATAACTTGATCAGTCGAATTAATCTCTGGCTGCGGGCCCATCTGATGCCAGGCATCACAAATTTAATTTGGAGGTGTACGGGATCTTTTATTCTTGCCTCCCTCTGCACCCCCCATCCCTGTCCCTGTCCCTTTCTTCTCGGCTCACCAGCACGCATGATGCTCCCGCCGCCGTAGGGATGACCTGGGCTGTCACAGCTTCCTTGGGGCTGCAGGGAATAACATCACCAGGTAAACCCATGCTACTCACAGGAAAAAAAAAAGAAAAAAACAAAAAAAAAAACCCCAACAAAACAACCCCAAACAGAGGCCAAAGCAGACACTAAGTAAGACATATTAATGTACTAAAGACTTAATGAAGTTTGGGGGGGGGGGATTGAGGGGAAAGTGCTTACTTTATTAGTTTATGGCCGATTAATGGGAACGGTCATTACAATGATGGAGATGGATTGCTCCCATCAAACACAACCACCAGCCCCTTTCAGAAGGTAGAGGGGTGCTGGTGTTAGCGCCTCGCTGCTCGGCCGGCGTTTGGGAAATATGGTACTGGGATGGGAGGGAAGATGGGCTCAGGGTGGGCAGGGGGCTGTGAGGATGCCAGGGGGGTTTTGGAAGATGCTGTGAGCTGAAGACTGAATAAATGAGGGGTTCAGGTGGTGGGACTGAGGGGTCAGTGCTTTGTAGGAGGAATCCTGCAGAAGAGGGGAAGGAAAAGGGGGAAAGTGAGGAGGCAAAGGAGACTCCATGCCAGCAGGCAGACTGGAGGCTATTTCAGGGCCCCAAACGCGTGTTCAGCTTCCAGATCCAGCAGGATGGCATCTCAGATGCATTGCTACCCAGCTCCCAGCCAAGGAGGATGGACAGACAGACTGGCCAGGAGCTTGGGAGCTCAGCTCCATGGGTGGTAAGCTGGTCTCACCCCCTGCCCCTCCTGGGCTCTGTGCTGGGATCCCCAAGTGGGGTCTTCAGGACCAGACCCTTGCCAGGATGTGAAAGTCACTTTGGTTCACTCCAGAACATGGTTAAATACCTGCTCACAGCCCAGGTGCCCTGTGGCGATGACCCAAAGCTCCCCAGACACCTCACAATAATCAGAATTATCCAATAACTCTCCAGCCGCTAATTGGCTGTTACCCTTTAGCTCCCTGGGGCAGGGCAGTAATTCTCATCCCTGTGAGCCACACTACAAGGGCCATTTACTAGGGCTGGGGGAATAAATGCAGCAGGGAAACGCTCACACTTGCATCCGTTCAACAGCCTTTGATTCCTCCTGTACAGCGTTTGCAGCCCCCTTCATTCACCTCACACCAAAATTTACACCAACCACGGAGGGTGATTTACTTTTTTTTGGCCTTTGATGGCCAGAATATTCACACTGAAGACAGGAGCTGGGAGACAGGAAGGAACATCTTAGACATT